GTACTTTTCTCCTTTAACATTTATAAAAACAATTATCCATCTTGCTATTAACCAGCTTGGTTCACAGCTTTGAAAGTATTGCTGTTTAGCAGCTACAACAATTAGGCAACATTTCCCAGCCATCAAGGACATATTTAGTAATATAAAGTAGTGATGCCAACCTTTTGGAAGTCTGCAGATTAGAATTGCCTATTACGCACAACTGAGAGCATTTAAAGGCAGCTCCTAAATGCACTTGTTCAGCAAAATTGATATGCAATTTTTACAACAAATACCAAAGAGAGAAATAACACTAATATAGACTATAAAACAAATTTAAATAAACAGTATAAAAATGCAAACAAGTAAATTGATAAATAGATGGAAAAACAAAGTGCTACTCGTGACATATCTCTCATGCTAGCTTTACTTACCTGAGTATTTTGGCATGCTGAAACCATAATGTAGTAATCTGTCCTGAAGGTTTTTGTTTGTTTTCCAATGTGTTTTGGGTGTGTGAAATCCATCTACCACTTGGGGAAAGAGGAAAGTAGGGAAGACAGATGCCCTTCTTTCAAAGTGTTGGAGTCGTGTTATAACCATGATGGTCCAGGATTTATGCAAGTGGCAAGGATTTTTGGGGGTGATACCTTTTTTGCCTTGCATTCAAAAGCTTGTCTAACTTTTACCAATTGTGCAGTTGGTCCAATAAATTGTATCACCCCCAGAAACTTGCTTCTTTCAGAGCACGTTGGAGTCCAGACAGCACAGAGTAATGGAGGAAGGTTCAGCTAGGAATGCCTGCCAAATGGACAGGGTGAGGCTGTAGGCCACAGTTTCTTGTGTAGAAAAATGAATCTTGTGTGGTGGAAGTAGTAGGCATCTGTCTGTTCCACAAGGCAACAGAATTATGCTGAGTGAGACATGAACTCACTGAACATAATCTTCCCTTGAAAATAAAGTGAAGCCAGAGGAGAGGAGAGGAGAAAAAGGTAGTGGTTATAAAAGTCTCATGCAGTTTCTCTGATCTCTAATAAGATGACTCTTAGTAAACTATGGAGTCATGCTTTCATTGTACAGAGGGCCATTATATAAAGTGGCTCTTAAAAACACGGGGAGAATCTGTGCCCCTCTACATCTGCTATGACTAAATGAGCCTGGAGGTGTTTCAAGTACATGCAACACAATATATGACCTGGCTTGGAGCAGTTTAATCTATTCTATGTACATTCCTCTGTCTTGTCTTTCCCTCTCCTAAATGTTTGAATATTGAAACCTTTAATCAGTTTCTTTTAATCAAAATATTTAACCTAAACCCGCTCTAACATTTTGGGGGAAAATGCTCTTCCACCCCTCTATCCTTGGGCTTAAAGCTATATGTGGATGTATCTCTTCAGGAGCACATCTATTCCACAGCACAAGCAAGCGGAAACCATCCTTTAGAATAAACCATTTACTTTTTTAGTGGAACGTGAGATGGAGTTGTTAGTAGTATTGTGATTTCTTCAATTGTCTATCAGTTTATAAAACTTAGGGCTCCTCTACACATGCAGGTAAAAGTGCAATGGGATCTAATGCACAATTCACACAATCACACCTCCTGCCATGTGACATGTGCATGGTAGGAGGTGTGATTGTGGGACTGTACATTAGATTACATCGCAATTTATTGCCCAATCCCAGGCTCCCCCTGCACCTACAAGAAGAAAGCTCCACACAGTTGAGTAGCTTCCAGCTGAGGAGGCACCCCATGCACCTTCTGGGACTGGAGGATCATTGCTGCAGTGATCCCCTCATCCTGAGAGTTTTACACACCCCCAGGGCTGGGGGATCACCCCTGTGGTGATTCTTTTGCCCCAGGTGTTTCATACAACCCTGGGGCAGGAAATCACTAGGATGCTTTAAGGACCCAGTGTCCACAGCTGCTGAGGCTGGAGTCCCCAGCAATTGCAGGACTTGCAGCCCCAGCTGGGCAAGGTACACAGGTGATAGAGCTCCCAGCCTCAAGGGAGACCCTGCTATAAGTACAAATTAAAGCTCAATAGCAACCAGCTATAAAGTTAGTACACATTTTTTACTTCTAACTTTATAGCTGGTTGAAGCTTTCTATTGTGTGATACATACTTTGTATGTGTAGCTGATTTCCAGGTGATTGCACAAATAACCAGTTAATTGTATGACACCTGTAATGTGTAGAGGAGGCCTTATTGATTGTGCATCTTTGGTATGAGGCTAACTACTCGTTTTCAAAAGGCATCTCAGAGTCACAGAAGAGCTGGAAGGGACCTTATGAGATGATCGGGTCCACCCCCCTTGCTCTGGGCAGGAAAGACTGCTGAGGTTAAATAACTCTAGTCTTCTTTTGAAGATCTCCAGGGTAGGTGCATGCCCTACCCACACTGGGAATCTATTCCAGAGTCTGGTCACACAAACCATGAAGAAGTTATTCCTTATATCTAGTCTGAAACCTTCATCTAGGAGTTTGACTGTTGCTCCTGGTTTTCCCCTGGGGTGCTTTGGTGAATAGTTGTTTGCCTAGCCCCTGATGCTCTCCCCTGATATATTTGTAACCTCCCACCAAATCCCCCCAAAGTCTTCTCTTTGGGCTGAACAGTCCCATATCTGTCAGGTTTTCCTTGTATGGCTTGCTGTTCAGGCCTCTAATCATACGAGTGGCTCTTCTCTGGACTCTCAAGCCTTTCCACATCTTTCTTGAAGTGTGGTGCCCAAAACAATGCAGTACTCCAGCTGCGGCCTCACCAATGCTGAGTAGAGTGGGAGAATAACTTCCTTAGTTTTGCTTGAGATGCATCGGTTGATGTATGCCAGCGTATTGTTTGCTCTGCATAATACTGGTGGCTCATATTCATTTTATGGTCAATTATGACCCCCAGGTCCCTTTCAGATGTGGTGCTAACTAGCGTAGCACCACTGAGCCTGCAAGTTTGTTGCGGACAAACTTACAGGCTCTGTTTTAGAGGTCTGTGCCAAGAATTGTGGGATAGCTGCTGCGAGAGTTTAAGAGCACTGGCACTGCAACCGTTTTGAGAAAGAAGACAGATGTGTTTTTGTAAAATTGGTAAGATGAAGTTGCAATCAGCAGTGCAGCTTTTATCCTTTTACCAGCATACTTGTCTTGTGTAGACAGATTCTTAAACATTACCTGCAAAGAATCATTTATCTAAAGTGCTTTTGGATGCTGGCTGTGATTAATCCATTTATTTGGGGATTAAGTCCCAAGAAGCCAGATCTTAGCTTATAATATCTGGTCAGGCAGCAGAGGTTTGCCATGTCTACTAGAGAATGTTCAATAATAAACAATAACTTGTTTTTCTTTTTTAAATGTAATCTGTTTATCTGTAATTACTACTTATTTCAGCTGACTGATTGGGGTTCCAGACAGTCCAAAGTTTGGAGGAAATAACTACAGAAATACCAACTGTTCTGTTCTGGGTTTATTGTAAAACAATAAAATGTGTAAGAGGTAGTTAGCTGTGTTAGTGTGAAGTCAGGCAGAAGGCAGGGCAAGGTGGCACCTTACAGACCAACCCTTTCAGAAAGGCGTAAGTCTTTGTAGATAACAGCCTACTTCGCAGATGAGCTGTCCTGCCTTCTGTCGAATAAAGCATGAGTTGAAGCAGTTCCAAAAATGAGAAATTAAGGCTGCATATTCATTTTTTTTTATTCTTTCTTTTTGGGTGAGAAGGAAAGGCTGTAAGCTGTTTCCAATAGAATAATGAAGAGAAATCACTCAGCACACTTAACTGATAGTCTCAGAAAGGCCCTTTTAAAATGATTTCAGCAGATGATATAACTAAAAAACAATGAAAAAGTGCTTCATTGACTTGGGTAGAAGACTGTTAAAAAACATCTCTGCTTATATGGGATTTATTGGATGGAGTAAGGTAGGAGCCTTCTTCAGCATACTGGAAATAAATACTTATTTCCATTAATAAGAAGGGACCTACCAAATTTACAAGTACACAGTTTTCGCAGAAACCACAAATTTGGTAGCATCCCCCATGAAAATGCATGGGGACCGCAAAACAGTAAAACAGGAAGGGGGCGGGGGGAAGGGAGCTGGAAACAGAGGCAAAGCCCTGACGTCCTGAAGCATGGGGGAGGGGGGGCCGGGGAGGAGAGGGTGAGAGCCAATAAAAAACCTGAAGTGCTGCAATAGCTAACTTTTAGGCACCTGCTCCCCAGATCCCAGGAAAACAAAACCCAGAGTTATGCACTTAAGCTCCATGTGTAGCCTGTGGGAAGAGCTAGGTGCTTCAGAAAGGCAATCCCAACACGCATATGCTGAATAAGGGGTTTTCTAGAGCTAGCCAATAAGAAACATTAAGTGCAAGAATTTGTTTGAATTTCTGC